TATTATGGTTTTCCAAGAAAACCAAACCATTGGGTGGTCTAGTCCACTCCAACCCATGGCATGCATGGCAGAGTAGAGCTGTATTCTATGAATTTCAGTTATAGTTTGCTAGGTCTTTAACACAAATAACTGGACATATATTCAGGTGTTCACTGAAAATAGTTGTACTGATGGAGGACATGAGTAAAGCCCATTGATTCCCGGTTCACAGCATTACTGCCCATTAATCTCCTATAAGAAGCCTGGTGACTTAGTGAGTCACAATGTGTTGTGCTGCTAACTTCAAGATCAACCCTTTGAACCCACCAACCATTCCATGGGAGAAAGTTGAGGCTGTCTGTTCCGGTGAAGATTCATAGTTTTGGAAACCTGAAGGAGAAGTTCTACTCTGTCCTATAGGGTCGCTATGAGTCAGAATTGACTCCAGGGCTATGAGTTTGGTCTGTGATTTTGGGTATGAGCATCTAAGGAATTAGCTTCATTGGGCTGTTGAAGGAACATAGTACATAGACTATGAACCCAATTCTATCGTGGGAGAAAATTGCTAGTACTAAATGTTAAAAGTTTTACCTGAGTTAATCCTCACAAAACCCCAGAAAGATATAGATACTCATTTTACAAAGGAGGAAACTCTCAGATTCAGATCGATTAAATACCTCACTCAGCTGACAATACTCACACGTGGCAGGCCATCCATTCATGTCGAGCTCTGTGTACGGAAGGACTTGGTGTAGTGCTTAATATTTGTTCAAGACAGGATGAGGTGATCCCAAAGCCAGACCAGTACCTCTCCCACTGCCCACACCGCCGCTGTCAAAAGTTTGTTTTCAGGCAGGATATTAGGATAAAAATTAAAAAATTTTTAAAGTAACAACCAAACAAAAATTTAATTCTCAATAAATAAAAAAATGATATTTTCTTAAGTGTACTATTAAGAAATAATTTTTAAAATAGATACAAGGTGAAAGACTATCAGATAAACCTAGTCTGCATTAGATTATTTTGGTTAAAATGCCAACCACCCCATGAGATGTGAGGGAAAAAGAATCTAGGAATATACCTTCCCTATTTATCAGAGCTTAGTAAACTGTTACTTCACTGCCATCTAGTCAATTCTGACTGGGAGCGCCCCTAGGGGAGAAAGTAGAACTGCCCATACAACTTGTTTTTCTTCCAGGTGTTTTACTAGAGCCATTAATTATATTTTAAAATGAAAATTTCAGTGATCATATATTTGTAATGAAAAGAAAGTATAATCTACTTCAAGTATATATAATTCAAGTATTTGTATCACAGATGTAAACTAAAGATAAAACAAACATTTTAACTTACTTGTTCTTTAAAATTGCTATTTTTGAAATATTAAATTTTATAATAAAAAATATAATTTGGTGGATATTAAAAGTTAAATTAAAATCTTTTGAATAGCACTAACTTCATTTACTTTCTTGAAAATTGAATGAAATATTGCTACATACTTACATAATTAAAACTATTCTCAGCTCTAGGGTTCAGTGTTCATCCAGTTGTTGACATTATACAAACTATTCTGTTTCACATATACTTAAACAGTTGTTGTGTTGTTGTTGTTGTTCATAATAACCCACTTGACAGAGTTTAGCTGCTCCATTGGGTTTCCTTGGCTGTAATCTTTATTGGAGTCTATCGACAAGTCTTTCTCCCGCAGTGCTTCTGGGTTGGTTCAAACCATTCATCTTTAGGTTAGCAGCTAGATGCTTAACCTTTGTACCACCTGGGAACCTTATGCCTAAAATACATGCCATGTGCAACTATTACAGACATGGTGTTAATTCTGGAGTGTCTCCAAAGCCACTGTTTACAACAAACAAAAACAATGGTATGGACTCTCAGTCCCAAAGGGGAAATGATGCAGGTGTAAGTAAAGTTCATCATTGCTGCCCAAGAGGAAGGGTTTTGTTCAAATTAATTACTTTGCCTTTTTCTAATCTGCAGGCTCAAATTTTCTCTGTCCTAAAAAATTGTGTGCAGTACCATGTTTCATCCTTCATGTCATTTGAGTGCAGTCACATTTTGCTATACACACACACACACACACACACACACACACACACTGGCTCAAGCCATTGAGTTGATTTGAATTCATTGTGACCCCGTAGGATAGACTAGAACTACCTCTTTAGGTTTCCAAGGCTATAAATCTGTGTTCATCTTCAGAGTGCTAGTGAGTTCCACTGCTGACCTTGCAGTTAACAGCCCAACATGTACCCTCCTCGGTCACTGGGGCCTTTCTGTTTCACAAACACAGAGCAAAAGATGCACAGCCTTCTCTGAGTCGCGAGTAGCATTAGTCACCAAAGCAGATACACATATTTAGGATCATTGGCTCTGTTGTACCAGAACTGAGAGCTAGATGTTTGTGACGGTGGCACCCACATGTTCTTTAATTGCTCATTTTTGTGTGTCGATAATATATCAGCCCAGGTAAGGGTCTGGCGTTATAACCCACCAACCGACCAACCGACCAACCAAACAAGCAAACCAACCATAGCAATTCAAATACTTTTCATTAAGGATAGGTATCTTTTCCAAGGAGAAAATTAATATAATCTGGCCATTTATTTACAGTATTTACTGTTGACTTGATGGATTTTTTCCTTAACTAGTTTGTCTATGCAATATGCATAAAAAATTCCTTTCTATTGCCATTCAAATGCTACTTCTTTGGTTATCTAAGAACAGAAATCTTCCCTCTGAACTACTTTAGAAATTGTTTTAATAAGGTTTGTGACACCTACCACAATTAGTTCTCTATTATAATTATTTGGATATTTTACCCTCCCTCTTTCACCCATTCAATCAATAAGTAATTATTTTTCACAAAATAATGCAACTATTTCTTTGAAAACTTCCTTTATCACAGGGAACATAAAGTAAACATATTTAAGTATATAATATCAAAGAGTGGTCATTGCTATCAAGAAAAAACTCAAGGTAAAAGGAAGGAGTCTTGATGGTTTAAGCTTAAATGCTTGAGTGTTAACTGAGAGGCCTACAGTTCAAATCCACCAACTGCATCATGGGAGAAAAGACCTGATGATCTGGTCCTGATTAAAACCAAACCACACCATCGAGTCGATTCCCACGCACAGGAAGCCAAGGCGCGCTCTGTTGGACAGGGTTGGATAGGGTCATGATGCGTTGACATCAACTTGGTGGCACCCACCACAGGAGGAGAATGTCCGTGGTACTCTTTTCTAAAAGGGGCTCCTTGAACAAGGTATGCTGGAGGGAGGGATTACGTGGAAACCAAGCTGTCTATGTGGAAGCAACTTGTCAGGATAAAGATTCTGAGACGCAAAGTGTTCAAGAAAATGTTGCTAGAGAGGATAAAATAACAGGGAATGCAAAAGTAAACAAATGATGTCAGAGAAGGAGTAAAAATCAATATCATGTGGAACCTTGTAGACCAAAGTGAAAAAAAAAAACACCTGAGTGCTTTGGACAGAAGACGATATCAAATCTTTGCACCACTCCAAACTTATAGCAGGTACCACCCATAGCTATTAGTAACTACATATGTAATGAAACTTTCATTGTATCTAACTTTCAACTAATGAGGCTTCTGAAATTTCCCTGTTGATTTTGTTTTGTTTGATGATGTAATGAGAAATTTGAAGTACAATTCATGACATCTAACTAGCAATTTTGGTGGTGATGTTAGGTGCCACGAGTTGGTTCCTAACCTTAGGATTGATCATACAACAAAACAAACCACTGCTCGTTCCTCTGCCTTTCTTATACTTGTTCTTATTTTTGAGCACATTGCTGCAGTCCTGCATCAACCCGACCCACAGAGGCTTTTCCTCTTTTCCACTGTCCCTCTACTAAGCAAGCATGACATCCTGCTCCAGGACTGGTCTCTCCTGAAATCATGCTGACAGGATGTGAGAAGAAGTCACACCATTCTTGCTTCTCTGGCGCATTCTCTCTGTGCTTCCTCCAAGACTGATTTGCTTGTTCATTTGGCAGTCAATGGTACTCGCAACAGTCTTCTCCAGTCCATCCTTCAAATGCACTCATTCTTCTTTGGTCTTCCTTATTCAATGTACAACAGTTAGATGCATGTGAGGTGATTGAAAATACCAGTCCTCAAAGTAAAATCTCTGCTTTTCAACACCGTCAAGAGGTCGTGTACAGCAGATTCACCTAATGCAACTCCCTTTGGTCTCGTGACTGCTGCTTCCATGAACAGGTTGTGGATCCAAGCAAAAGGAAATCTTTGACAACTTCAACTTTTTCTAGATTTATCACGATGTTACCTATTGGGCCCAATCGGGAGGATTTTGTGGGTTCTTTATGTTGAGTTGTAGTCCACACTGAAGGCTGAAATCTTGGGTCTTCATTAACAAGTGCTTCAAATCGTCCCCACTTTCAGCAAGCAAAGTTGTATTAGCTGCATTCCGAAGGTTGCTAATAAGCCTTCCTCCAACCCTGCCGCCACACTCTTCATGGAATTCGGTGTCCCTGATTATTTGCTCAATGTATAAATTGAATACATTTGGTGACAGGATACAACCCTGATGCACACCTCTTTTAATTTTAAACCATGCCTTATTCCATTTTCTGTTTGCGTAACTGCCTCTCGATTCATGTACAAATTCCACAGGAGGACAATGCAGTGTCTGAGAGTCTCATTCGTCTCAAGACTATCCCTAACGAGTTATGGTCCACACAATTGAAAGCATTGGCATAGTCAATAAAACAGAAGTACGCATCTGTCTTTCTGGTGTTCTCAGCTTTCAGCCAAGATCCATCTGACAACAGCACATCCACATCCACTTCTGAATCAAGCCTGAATTTCTGGCAGCTGCCTTTGAGTAGACTGTTCCCACCATTGTTGGATGATCTTCAGCAAATTTTACTTTCTTAATTGTCTAGCAATTTATTGTATTCTAAACAATGATAGTAATACAAACTCACTAAGATCTCTGTGATAACTTTGCTTTTTCCTCTCTTAGGATTTCCAAACGGTATTACCATCATTTGAGCTCTTCTCGAAGTATGGGAAACTATATTCAAAAGCTGGGCAGATTTTATAAAGGTAATATACTTTTTTAAAGTACTATAAAAGTCATATGAGGGTAATTTAATAAGTATTGCTATTAGTGTTCCAGTTCAGAAATGCATTGGTTTATTTAAAAAACAAGCACACGTGTTTAAACGTGTCTCTGTGATCAGTGGATGGCTGCAGACAAGTTCTCTCAGTAATACACCTGCCTTAGTCTCATTACTGTGCCTTCAAACAAAGTCAAGTTAACACCATTAATTTACATGGTATCTGCTGGGCCAAATAAATTCAAGGCAGAGAGGGCAGCTCAAAAATTATGACAACTTTTTGGGGGAGGTCCAAAGAGGTAATCTTCATAGATGTTCTCCAGAGACAAGCAACAATCAATTTAAAAACTTCACTGGTGAGAAAGTGGCCTGGAAAATTGCACTGAGGAATCCCCGCCCCCAGCCCCAAATCATGACAATGGACCTGCTAATTCTTCAAGAGTAGCAAGGGTTGCCCCTTCAGAATTTTGTTGGAAAACTTTATCCTACCCAGTCTACATCCCTGATCTTGCCCATTCAGATGTTCTTTTGTTCCCGAGAAACAATGAACATTGAAAAGGAATATGACTTGGCTCTTGTGAGGGTGTCAACACTGTCATTTTTACATGATAGAAATTGAAATATGCATAATTGTTTGGGGATGAATAAGCAAGATGGAAACACCGTTTTCAAAAGCTTAGACTTAGATGGAGGATATGTTGTGAAATAATTGTTTTACATTTTTATATTTTTGCTTAATAAAGGTTTCTATAATTTTGTAGTGGTACTTTTTGATTTATCCTCATATAGAAAATAACATTTAAAAAAGCAAATAAAATTGACTTAACTATCAGGACTTTCAAAAGCATACTATGATATTATTTGTACATAAAATAAAACTTCATAATCTTATCTCATCCTACTGAGATGAGGGTATGAGTTTTAATTTTTAATATTGAAATATTAATTTTAATATTTAACAGTCATAGGTTTTGCCCCAAATCTCTTTTACAAAATTTCTCTAAGAGGAGCATGACAAAAATATGGAGTACTTTTTATATTTAAATTAGTTGCAACAGAAAACAACTGGACACCCCCTTACTGAAGGTTGTGGGGAGGAGATGAGCCAGTCAGGGTGCAGGGTTGCAACGATGAAACACACAACTCTCCTCTAGTTCTTAAATGCTTCCTCTCCTATCATGATTCCAATTCTCCCTTACAAATCTGGCTAGACCAGAGGATGTACATTGGTACAGATAGCAACTGGAAACACAGGGAATCCAGGACAAATGAATCCTTCAGGATCAGTGGTGAGAGTAGTGATGCCTGGAGGGTGGAGGGAATGTGGGGTGGAAAGGGGAAACCGATTGATTACAAGAATCTACGTAAAGCCTCCTTCCTGGGGGATGGACAGCAGAGAAGAGGGCGGGGAGAGACGTCAGACAGAGTAACATATGACAAAATAATAATAATTTATGAATTATGAAGGGTTCATGAGGGTGAGGGGAGTGGGGAGGGAGGGGGGAAAATGAGCCATATTAAGGGCTCAAGTAGAAGACAAATGTTTTGAGAATGATGATGGCAAAAAATATACAAATGTGCTTGACACAATGGATGTATGTATGGATTGTGGTAAGAATTGTACGAGCCCCCAATAAAATGATTTTTTTTAGAAAGAAAATTAAATAGTTTTATACAATGCAATAAAATATATTATGATATTAACTAAAATACCTTCAAGTACTGTATGAAGACATTATCATTTGCATAGCATATGCATTCTTTGCAGCATTGGGTGGTTGGGGAATACCAATGAAATAGCGTCTGGGGTTTCTGATTAACAAAGTTTACAAGCTTGAGAAGGACAAAGATACTTATGTAGAATTCATCAGTAACAAAATATGGTCTCAATGAATTCTATATTCGGTGGTTAAAATATTTTAGAAAAAAAATGTTTTAGAATAGGGAAATTATTATAATTGAGGTGAGAGTGTTAGGACATATTCTGGCATTTTCAGTCAAATTTAAAGTGACTGGACAAAAGATAGCAAAAATCACTAGTTGCAGGTATGAAGCAAAAATGAGGAGTCAAGATTATCTGCATATTCTCCTCAATCAAGAACCAAGGAAAAAGAAATGGATTATGGATCTCAGTCAGCCAGTCTCCCTAGACTGACAGGTTGTCTGTCTACGCATAACTTTAATGCTATAATTTAGAATAGTCAGGGTTACTGACACATGTTGGCCTCATGAACAACCAAATATAACATTGCCCATCTGATCCCCATGAATAGTTGTGAATCAGATTCTGAAAAATAGGTCACCAGGCCTTTCCTGGTCTCCTTAGCCAAGTGATGGCTGCACTGAGGTTGATTGGTTAAGAATGGAACCCAGCTTTTTCACGTGGAAAAGAACATTCTACTACTGAGCCACCACTGCCCTGGCAGTGGTGTTTACCCATTTATATTTCTAAAACAATGTAGGCAGCCATCAATGTGAATGAGATTACGGAAGACACATTTTTCTATCAGCCGAGTAAGTGGAGACATCCCAGTGGGCCATCTCTAAGACCCACTAATATTGTGTGGCTCGGCACCTCAATGACCATAGGGCTTTGGCACATGCGGTTCGGAGGAGAAAGTCTTCATCTGGTCTGTGAACCAGTGGCTGGTGTTTTTGGAAGCAGGTATTTCTTGTCATGGGGAAAGCCTGTACTCAAAGTGTGTTAAGTAAGAATAGATACTGTTGTATATGTAGGAATGAGAGGGCCATTCTATAAACTGAGTTCTTGTGGCAGACACAGGGGAAATAATTCCCCACATACTGACTTAAGTGGTTAGTTGCATACTCAGTGAGAGAGCTTGTTGTAACAGGCTTTGAGGCCAGGGCGTGGTGCTCCAACAGACTGGACTGGAAAACACCCCTAAAGGCCAACGATCCTTAAACTAAAATAATAATAATAAGCCAATGAGAACATGATGCCGATATTATGTGATAGCAAACACATGTGACATGGGAAACAAACTCACCATTTGATCAGTCCTTTTAGAACAAATAGATCCCACAGACTAGATGCAAAAAGTATGAGGGATCTACTCTTTACAGTGAATTTTGAGAAAGCTTCATCGATGAAACATATGCAATGTCACCAAAGAAAGGAATACTGAACTAGCAAGAGTTGCTAGATGGAAAAATGAACTGAAAATTGGACTATGTGCAGAAGATTGCCAGTATGGAGATCATCCTTAGCCCATTAGAAAACCTGATCAACAGATTCTCCCAGAGTTCAGAAGGAAAATAAGTAAAAGGGTGCAAACTATAAGAAAAAGTTGTAACACACAAGAACAGACAAATAGAAATCCCAGAGAAGAGAGCACTAGTTTTTTTTTAAAGGCCTCTTACCACACACACACACACACACACACACACACACACACACGCATGCACACGCACGCGCGCGCGTGTCCGAATGAAAGGGGTTCCCAAAGCATTGATCAAAATTAGTATTTAAAGATTCGCATTTTAAAGATATAAAACACGAATCTTTAAATACTATAAGAACTCGTACTAAAGAAAGCACAGATTACCAATGATGAAGTTAAACTGCGAGTCTGTACCAAGAAATGTCAGAAAGCACAGTACAAGGACTGAAGAATTTTGAGTAAAGAAAGAACTATAACCCTCAAATTCTGGGCCCAGCTTTAAAAAACAGAGAGAGGGAAAGAAGGAAAGAAATGGTGTTATATAAGGTTAGTACAAAAAATAGAAACTTATTGCTCATTTGTGCTCTCTTAAAAAAATCCAAGTGTTTAGGAAAAAGCAAAAATAAAAAAGAACAGAAGAAAGAATAAAAATGGTACAAGGGCATTGTGTTGAACTATAAGTAGTGCATTCAATGAAAGTTTAAATATATATATACAATCATCTCTTGTAGTTAGGAAGGTTAGGGCAAACATTAAGAGCATATTTCTGAAATAAGACATACATAATGATAAAAATTTGGGACCTCTGCTGGCATAGTGGTTATTCATTGGCTGCAATCAGCAAGGTCCACAGTTCAAAACCACCAGTCACTGGTGGAAAAGGCAGGGAGGCCTACTCTTGTAAAGAATAACAGTCTCAGAAACTGACAGAGGCAGTTCTACCCTGCGCTCTACGGTCATGATGAGTCAGTAGTGAATTTGGTTTTTGACTTTTGGAATGACAAAAATCAATCTGAAAGTAAAATATATTTATGAATCTACACTAAAGAAAGGAATTACAAACTTCCAATAAACAAATGAATAGAATCACAGTCTCGCTAACTAAATTATGCACAAACAAAAACTTTTAAATATATATTTGGGTTCTTGGTTTATTTTTGTCACTCAAGCTGGAAAAACTTTGCAGGATTCCTATGAAGCAGAATAACAATCTGTTTGGAGTATGCATTCCTACAGCCTTTCAAGGGGTAGTTTGGGAATATTTATCCCAGACTTTAAGAGAACAGTTAAAACTGCCCCAGGCATTGTTCTTCTAGAATTTTATTGCAAGAAATCATTGAACAAAAGTTCAAAGATATATCAATCCTGTTTATATTGATGGAAGATTGAAACTTCATATACATGCTGTTAAACAAATAGTGAGACTCATACAATGCTATGTTATGAAGACTTTAAAATTTTAGCATAGCTCATCTAATAACTTTATAAGATGCTTAAAATATATTTGGAAGAAATGAAAGTTCAATTCAAAGCAGTGTATATAGTTTGATTCCATTAAAAAATATAACTATATAGAAAGTGTTGAAAAGCAGGGATACTACTTTGAGTGGTAAAGTGTGCCTGACCCACGCCATGGTATTTTCAATTGCCTCATGTGTATGTGAAAAGTGGACATTACATGAAAAATAATCGATCGATTTATGTAATGGCGCTGGTGAAGAGTATTGGCAGTTCTGTGACAGCCAGAAGAACAAACAGATCAGCCTTGGAGGACACACAGCCCAATGCTCATAGCGGAAAGGAT